GCAAGAAAACCTACATTATTTCTGGTCTTAAATATACGTGACATTTAAACCTTAGAAAATTTACATACCGGAGACTTTTTCTTATTTCCTGAAGATATGATACATTCCAAGAGGGGATTAAGCATTAGACAGAAAAATTAATATATAAAATCTATTATATTGCTACATACCAGTAATAGTTAGAACCTATAATGTTTTTAAATGTGCTATTTATGAGAGCAACAAAAAATAATAACAACCCAGGAATAAATCTGGCAAAAACCTTCATGGAGAAAATTCTAAGACTTCTTAAGAATCATAAAGGAGCTCTAAATAAACAACAAGCTATACTTTATTCATAGTTGGGAAGATTTAATATTGTAAAGATGCCAATTCTCCCCAAGCTGATCCACAGATTCAATGCAACTCAAATTAAAAATCCAACAGATTTTGGTGAAATCTAACTGGCTGATTCCAAAATATATATGTAAGAACAAGGAGCATAGAATAGCCAAGATGATCCTGAAGATGACTGATGTGAGAAGACTTACTCTACCAGTTATCAAGACTTAACAGAAAGATGGTTACTAAGATGTCTTCGTCTAACATTGGCCAATGGAACAAAATTAAAAGCCCAGAAAAGAAGACTCACACACATATGGAAACTTGATGTGTGAAGGAAGTGGTTTTGCTGTCAGTGAGAAAAGGTAGGGCTATTTGGTTAGTGACACTAGAACTACTAGCTATTAACACAGAAAAACAATGCAATTTACAAAAGAATATATTAACACCTGTAAGCCATAAATAACAAAACCAAATCATGTAACCACCACCCAGCTTAAAAATAGCAAATATCAGGGCTACTTTTGAAGGTTCTGGTGTCCCCCTATTTGATTCCTACATCATATTACAAAAATAAATTCCAGATGGATAAAAAGATAACAAAATTCAAAGAAAAAAGCTTTAAAGCTTTTAGAAGTTAACATAAAAATGTCTTCATGACTTCTAAATTTCTTTAAAATATCCAAAAACCACAAACCGTAAAGGAAAAGACTCATAAATTAGACTACATTATAATCAAGAACTCTTGTTTATCAAAGGTAATCACAAACTGAAAAAACCAAGAGATTGAGGGAAGATATCTGCAACATATATGATGAACAAAGGACTAGAATCCACAATGAAGAATGCCTTAAAATCAATATTAAAAAAAGCCACAACAGACAAATAGACAAAAGGATGAACCAACATCCTATAGAAGGGGAAACTCAAATAGCCAGTAAATATATAGAGATGTTCAACCTCAAACCACAATGAAGTAACGTTTAGACCCACCAGTTTGACAAGAAATTTAAAATCTGGAAAAATCAAGAGCTTGTGAAGATACAGAGTACCAAAAACATTTCTATACCACAAATGGGCTAGTTAATAAGTACAAGTACTTTAGAAAACAATTTGGCACTACCCAGGAAAAGTGAAGACGTGCATAGCCTGTGACTCAGCAACTTTAAAGTCAGACATCCATCCTAGAGAAACATGTAAAGTACGCACCAGGTTAGTGAAAGCATAGACTGTAACAGCAAACCCCAGAAACCTCCCAAACGTCACTGTTGGGATAAAGATAAGTAAGTTGGGTTTCCTAGGAAACATCCTGAGACAGTTTCGTATGCAGGGTATTTACTAGGGAGTGCTTACTAAAGTGGGATTAACACCTGTAGCAGGAAGGAGAAGGGAGCAGGACCAGGCTAGGGAAGAAGTCAAGTTATAATGAAGGCCCAGTGGCCTCAGGTGACCGTAGGGTCCTCCATTGGGGAAGCTCTAGAACTGAAATGAATTGTCAGAGTTGTCCCATGTGAGTCAAAATGCCCAGGCCTTTATACCCCACCTCACCCTCTCATTAAAGGAGGCCATACCTAAACTAAAGGGGCATAAAGTTGGGTGACGCAACCCTCTGCCGAGGCCAGCCCTGAAGGCGCTGACCGCTGAGGGCTGTCTGCCGCCCACATTTACAGCACCTGGGACAAGCCCTTTCTTGATAGGAAGATCTAAGCACTGCATCTCCATGTCCACCATAGTGTTGTATAGTCACACAAATGGAATACTATACAGCAGTGAAAATTAACGACCTACAGCAGTCAACATGGATAAATCTTACACTACTGAGAAGAAAAAAAATGAAAAGAATACATATAGTGTTCTTTCATTTACTTAAAGTTCACAAACAAGCAAAATGAAATGATATTTTGCTTAGGGAGATATACATATGGGTTAAAACTACACAAAGGATCAAAGAAATGTTAAAATATAAAAGTTTAAGTGGTTGTAGGTAACAACTTACAGATGAGGGATACGGAGAGCAACAGGATCAAATAGGGAGACAAAGAGCCTACAAAAGTCTTGATATTATTCTATTTTTAAGGTGGGTACACAGTTTTGCTTTTTTTTATTATTTATAGCTTAGATGTGTTAAAAATATTCTTTTGTATAACTGTTTTGATTTTTAAAGAACAAATATTTTCTTCCTTTATTTCAGGAGAAATAATTTTCCCAAAGTTCAACCTAGAACAAGAAACACATGCAGTAACCAAATCTGGTCTCCTTACTTCTTAACCCCTTTTTGACTAAAATGCTATCATATATGCACTGAATTTCTGTCCTGGCTGACTTAGCCCAGCTCTGTGGCTATTTTGCCAGAAATATGTCATACATCAGGAGTACTACTTAACACCCCTAAGAAATCTTCAATTGTATTTGTTGATGTAAAAATATTAAGGCTTCAAATTTAGAGAGCAAGTGTGCAGAGAGGAGACTTTACAATGGTATAATTATTCATAATTTACATTTGAAAAGCCGAGACTTTGAAAGGAAAATAATTTGCACAAATGTGTGGAGTAATAGCTGTGCTAGAAATAAAATAGAATCCCACATTCCCCTGCCAGTGCTACAAATTACAGCAGCAGAATAATTAACTTGTGGTTTTTTTGAGCTACCACCCACTGGTGATTTTCAGAAATAACAATTTCTTTTAGTATAATAGGGCTAATATCTTGCCAAGGTGCTCTGCAGGAGCAAAACACTACCAATATCAGAAAAATCTGGTATTTCTAGTAAGTTTAGTTTCTGAAGACCCAGGGGTATCTGCAGTTTGGTGAAATGTCAACACACAAGTTTATATGTCTTCACAGATGTGTGAAAGACACAAGGAAGCCAAAATTTAACTGGCTCACACACAGCTTTTCAATCACAACACACATTACTGAAACATAAGACTGTGGCATTTCACACTTCATCTAACTTCTCATTTTCAGACACTTGCCACTTAGCTATATAAGGTGGAGGTCCAGAGGAAGGACCACTTTGTGGTAGAAACCATAAATCTTCAAAAGCTCTTTAGACATTCAGGAGACTTTTAAAAAATCCCCCAAAGTGAAGCTTTACTAATAATGACACTAGTCGTTTGTCAAACTCACTAGTCAAACAGGAGCCTTGAGCTACACAAACATGACTCCCTGTTTGGAACCAACAACTAACATGCCAAGACAAGGAACCCTACAAATATTCTGCTAAAGCCATAGGACAGAAAATTTTCTCCAGCGATAAGGGGAAAGGAGTTGTAGATATGGGTAACTTGATGGACCTCTCCAAAAAATGCCCTCCAGCAAGTCTAAGTGTTTAAAGAAAACCAGACGGGGAAAAAAAGAGGTAAACACACTGAAGTGGCTAGCTCCTGTGCACAACTGGGATCCAGGGTATCGTTTCTTTGAACCTGAACCTAAGCCCTGAAGATGCAACATTATTTGCAGCAAACGTTTCTTCTTGAAAAACAACCTGGGAAATCACAGAGTTCCCCTTCTTTAAAGTTTTGGTTGATCAATGCTGGGAAGGCTCGAAAGTGACTGTCCACTCTCTTATCAAAATCAAAACAAAGGATTTTTGAGACAGATGAAAATCAAAGGCTCAACTGCCCAGAATGTATTCCAATTCACCCTGAGGAAGTTGGGCAGGACACCCGAGGATCACTTGGTCTCACGCCTCTTGCTGGCCGGCACAGGTGGTCTCTGGGTTGGTGGTGACGGGCTTGATGCTTTGGAAAACAGTGGGCTCTCAGTTCATTGCTCACAGCCTGAAAGCAGACCCCTACCCTCTCGCACTTCACATCCGAAGTGGCACGTCCCCTAAATCACGGATACTGTTCACCCAGAAACACGTCTCACAAACGTGGGGACAAACCGTGCAGCTGTTAAGTATTTATACGGTGGTTTTCCTGGCAGCCATGATTCATCTTTTCTTTCTCATAACGCGAGAACTTCCAGGAGCCTCCAGTCTTGGTGGAACCCCTACCCAGGTGATGAATCTTTTTAGGCAGGTGAGATATGAATAAAGCATAGAGAACGACCCTCCCCCACCCCCTGCAGCCTTGTGCCGGAGGAGTTGCAGAGTCTGGGCAGCTGCTCCTCCACGCCCTGCTCTGATGAGATGATGCCAAGGTACCCAGCCTTTCTACTGAAGGTGACTTACTGTGCGCAACCCTTAAGCCAGAAGCTGGAGGACTCGCTAGAAGAAGCAGTGACCACCTAGAGGGGTGGGATAGGGAGGGTGCGAGGGGATATCGGTATATATGTACACGTAGAGCTGATTCACTTTGTTATACAGCAGAAACTAACACACCATTGTACGGCAATTATACTCCAATAAAGATGTCTAAAAAAACAAGCAGTACAACTCCGCCACCGAGACCTTGCCCAACTTGCCCCGGGGGCTGTGCCTCCGCCCTTCAGCCAGTGGCCCCGGATGAGGGTGGCAAAGCCCAGACTCCGAAGAGGGGAAGGTCACCCCTTCAGCACCAACCTTCACAGGCTAGCAGGGGGCACAGGCTGCGCGTCTGGCGGTGCCCACCAACCACCCCGGCCCAGCCCGGGAACCACCTAGGTATGAAGGACTCCGACTCCCCCGCCTCCGATGCCCCTGCCTAACCCCCCCACATCCACGCCCCACCCCTCCCCGACGCACGCCTACAGCACCTGGGCCTCCGCCTCCGGCCCCAGCGGCCACTAACGCCGCCCGCTGTGCCCGCAGCCACGGGAGCACGTCCTTCCCGAGATCGAAGTCGGAGACCAGACGGAGGGCCATTGCCCGGACGCGGCCACCGGGCAGCTCTGGAGCCCTGCGCCGCGGGCATTCCCGGCCCTCCGCGCGCCACCGCACCCCGCGCCCGCCCCTCCTTCCTCTCCCCCGCCCGCCGCTTTCGGTTCCGCCGCAGCCAAGCGGGAGAAGCCCCAGCACCGCCTCCTCCCGGCCCGGCCCGCGCCGCGCACGTGAGCCTCGAGCTGCGCACGCTGGGCCGGCGGGGGGATGGGGGGAGGGGGAGCGACGAGGGTGCGGGGACCAGACCCAGCCGGGCCGCGAGCCCTCGACTTGCACCCTCGCGGCGGAGGACAGAGAGGGAGGGAGGATTTGTTTTTTAAAGAGGCGTGGAGATGTTGCTGGACCAATGGTTTCCAAACTATGCTGCATATGACATGTGCGTGCTAGGCGTTTGGGGTTTTTTTTGTTTGTTTTTTAATCCCCAGGTGAGTCCACTGTGCAGCAAACTTCAGAAACCAGTTGGCTAGAGAGAGGTATTACTAGCTGGGTCACCTGAGAAGGTTCAAGGTCATCACCGGGGCAGAAGCAGGCGGTGGCTTGGGCCTATTCAGCCCAATTTCAGGGTGGTGGTATTTTATTAGTAGTACTTAAGTAGAAAGTAGCGAGGTGTATGTGAGATGATTCTACTTTAACAGAGATTCGGAGACACTGGAAGGGGTCAATCAGCTCAACACAAACAGGTCTTCTGCCTATTTACGGGGCTCCCTACACTGGATGCAACGAAGTTGAATTGTTGAAGATTTCCTCTGCACTTTTTTAAAAGTGCTCTCCTTCCAGGGGCACCTGTGGTGTGGGGCACCGTCTCATCCCCATACCTATAAATAAGTCCAGTGTTTTCTTAATCTTGCCACTCAGGTTTCTTTTCATTAGAGAGTGTACCATCAGTATTGCTTGCTGCACCTTTGGCACTGCAGATCCAGTCCATCCTGAACATCAATGCCAAGTTATTACTGTCCCTAAAACAAAGCTGTCCTCATGGCCCCGTGCAGAAGACTTTGAGTAACAGCTGACTGCAGGATAAAGTACCTATACTTTACCTGACCCTTCCAGCCTTTTCACCTAGACCTTCGGCTCCAGGTTGGCCTGATTCCAGAACCCTGTGATTCCACCCACTTGCCTCCGAAAAAAATCACCAGACCCTTCCAATATGGATCCACAAAGCTTTCTCACAGCTTCAGCCCCTAGCGACCTTCCTAACCCTGAACTTCTAGACAGATGTTGCTAGTACACCTCATTTGACAATCAAATACTGCATGGAGCCGTGAATTGAATCTTGAGTCTTGCACACCCCTCTGCAGCGGCTAACAGAGCAGCCAGAAGGTGCTCCACTGTTACTGAAGAGTGAGTCAGTAATGGACTAAGGGGTGCTTTGTCACATGTCTCACAAAGTGAGGGTCTGAAAACTACCCTCTGTTTCACAGTGCAGACTCCTAGGCTCTAGTCTAGACCTGGGCAAGGCACAGAAATGTGCATTTCAGTCAGAGCCTCAGGTGATTCTTAGGCTCGCTAAGATCTGAAAACTTCTCTAAATAAAGGTAAAAGAAACTCTTGATTTCGCCCTACTGACACGTTTCTCCGGCTGCGGTGGTGGATGATTTCAGGAAGCTCTCCACTACTCACCACCACATTCGTAGGAAAGTCATCCTACCTGTAAAGTGCATGAAGCTTTAACAGAAATGCTTACTGAGGCTGCTGATATTGCCAGTGCAAAGAAGGGTGACCACTGAAATAATGGGGAGATACTACAACGAATGTTTCATACCAAATGGAGCTGGTTGCTTTTGTCATATAGAAACGTCTTCACTTTCCTATTTTAAAAATTAAGTTTCTGTTGATTTTTTTCTCAGTTAACCTCTATTTTTATCAAGTAAAACTGATTTTGTAGTCTTCATCAAGCAGTGATTATATAAAAATTCCCTTCAAAATAAATTTAAGTAAAAAAGAACACAGAGAAGGTGAGAAATAATAACTAAGATACCAGAGAGACATGGCCAAAGCCATGAAGGTAGTATATGAATGGCTGAGCTTTGGAGATAATTCGCTAAGGAAAAGACTAGTGAATGGTGACTTACTGGTTTACAATTTGTGAAAGATTAACAGAAAAAGAATGCTGATGGATTATCCTTGAACTCTAATGAAGGCAGAACTGGAAACTGTCCTATCTTCTTTAGTTAAAAAGCTGCTTCATTGATGGATGTGTTAACTTGACTGTGGTAATCATTTCACCATGTATATTTATATCAAATCATCACATTATACACTTTAAATATTTGCCTAAAAAAAGGGAAAAGAAAAGAAAGCTGCCTCAGAATCCTTAAGCACTGGAACTGGCTTTTTTTTTTTTTTTTTTTTTCCAGTACGTGGGCCTCTCACTGTTGTGGCCTATCCCGTTGCGGAGCACAGGCTCCGGACGCGCAGGCTCAGCGGCCATGGCTCACGGGCCCAGCCACTCCGCGGCATGTGGGATCTTCCCGGACTGGGGCACGAACCTGTGTACCCTGCATCGGCAGGCAGACTCTCAACCACTGCGCCACCAGGGAAGCCTGGAACTGGCTTTTGAATAGAATAGGATTATTTCTATTTCTTGGGGATTTTAAGAATTAACCATCATCTTCCTTAAAATCATAGCATAGCATAGAGTTGGAGACCTAAAGATTTTATCATCAAGACCTTTATTTTAGAGATGAGGGCACAGGCTCAAAATGGTGAAATGAATGTCTGGTCTAAAGTAGCAAAGCTAGTAAACCACGATGTTGGGATCAGAACACAGGTCTCCTGCTATTGGTGTTTGTGTTGATTATGTCCAGTGAACTGACTTAGAAGACTCAAATTACCTTACAGCCTGAGGATTCCGAGTTATCCAAATACCACACCCCAACTCGAGTAGAATTCTGTGACCGCAGTGAGAAATCACAGAACTTGAATCACATGGTTTCCTCAAAATAGTCTAAGTTCTTTGTAATTTCATCTTGAGTTTTAGAGTTGAAGGAAACTAAAGGAATTGGAAATGTGGGTTGAATGAATCATTTGTAAATGAAAATAGTTAATCTAATAGAGACGTTAAAATGAAAAGTTCCACTCTGTTCTCCTAACCAGAAAGAATGTCTGGAAGAGAGAAACAATACAAGTGGATTCTGAAGGAGTTAGAAAATGGCCTATTTAACAAATCTAGTCCAAAATTCTAAAACTACAAGGAATCTAAGGAAAGGACTAACGAAATCAATACCAGGTTTGAAATTGGCATTCAGTGGAGCAATAAGTATGCTAAAAGAACATTTTTGTTAATAAACTCATGTGGTTGAAATTAAGTAGAAGTGAATCAACTAAAAACCAAACCTTGGGGGGGCTTCCCTGGTGGCGCAGTGGTTGGGAGTCCGCCTGCTGATGCAGGGGACGCGGGTTCGTGCACCGGTCCGGGAGGGTCCCACGTGCCGCGGGGCGGCTGGGCCCGTGAGCCATGGCCGCTGAGCCTGCGCGTCCGGAGCCTGTGCTCCGCGGCGGGGGAGGCCGCGGCAGTGAGAGGCCCGCGTACAGCAAAAAAAAAACCAAACCTTGCATTTTGGAGGCTAATCCTTTGAAAGCACAGCTGAGAATGTTTTCCTTAAAATTAATAGAGGTTACCAGAAAACCCATTAGAATCTAAATAATGCATGAGTAAGGTTCCTCTGAACTTTCGAGGAAATAATAATTGAAGTTTTGTAACTAAGATGCTAAAGCACTTACAATGAGGTGACGTCTTATGTAGGTATTAAGAATGCTGCTTCCCTACAGTAATCTATTTCTAGCAGATATATTTAATATGTTTTTAAGTAAATATCTAAGGTGGTGATCATTATGACACCCCCCATCCATTTGCCCCCAGTCAGGTGTTAACATTTTGTCTTGCCAGTGACTGACTGGGAATGGGCATGTGCATCAGTCAGGATTAGGCGCACCAGAAGGTATTGAAAACCCAAATTAACAATGAATTGAACACACAGGTCTTATTTTCTCACCTATCTGGAGGTAGGTAGTCCAGTGCTTGTGAGGGCACGTCTCTGAAATCAGGCATCCAGGCTTCTTCCAGCTTTTTCTTCTATCAGCCCTTTGGGCATATCCTTGTCCTCAAGGTCTAAGGTGACTGTGAAAGCTTCAGCCATCTTGTCTGCATTACAAAAGTCAAAATGGAAGAAGGGAGATAAAAGAGGATGCTGCCTTCCTTTTAAGAATACTTCCCACAGGTTCTACATAACATTTTTTTACATAACATTTTTACATAAATTTACAAGGAAATAATTTACAAGGAGTCTTTTAAATGACTAGTCATATGCCCAGATAAAAATCGGGATAATATTACTAAAAAAAGTGGAGAGAACCGATGCTAGAGGCCTCTATCATGGCATGAAGTCCAATTCTGGACAATGGGTTGTAAGGAAACCTCTACTACGGTATTTCTGGGAAAGATTTCTCTATTCCTAAAAAAAGGAGACATGGGAAAAGAAGGTCCTTTTCAGCCTTTATATATTTCAAGGCCTGGATATGATTCCTGGAACTTCACCAAACCTGCTACCAGTCTGAAGAGGGAGTCAACAGATGGAAGTGGGCAGAGCCCAGAGAACTGCAGAGAAAGGGGGCCTTGGCCTGTCATTCTTGAAGCCAGCCCTACCTCTGGCCTTTTTGATATTAGCGATAAAAAACTTCCCTGCTGTTTACACAAAATTGAGTCAGATTTTTATTTTACTTGAGGCCAAGGCTCTCAATTTTAAAGGCCTATCATTTCAGAATTTTGGTAACTTCCACCAGAGTGCTCCGATCATAATAGGTTTTGAACACATTAGGGCACATTGCCCTATATTTTTGTATTGTTGTTATTAACATAAAATGAAATAATGTTAAAGGAGTAGGCTTGGGGGAAAAAACCCAGATGAGCAAAAAGTTAATTCCAGATCTCTGATAACTTAAGAACCTTTGGATCAGATCACACTTGAAACTCATTCTACCAGCAGACTTTTTAATTACATGAGCCAACAAATTTCCTTTATTATGTAAGCCAGTTTGGATTGGATTCTCAGTTATTTCTGCTAAAAGCACCCCAAGTTGGGGATTTTCAAACTTTAATGAGCACACAAATCACCTGAGGATCTTGTTAAACTGAAGATGCTGATTCAGCAGGCTGGGGTATACATTTTAACAGGCTC